GACGGCCAGGGGGCCAGCTAGGGGTGGGCGCGATGGCCAGGGGGCCAGCTAGGGGCGGACGCGACGGCCAGGGGGCCAGCTAGGGGCGGGCGCGACGTGTTAAAATTATATATTTAGTTATATAATTGTTAGGCTTGGTAGGTTACCTAACTTTACTGTAGAGGGTACAATCCCCTCCTTGTATGCCTCTCTTTCTATTCCAACCCTCTTTTCTCTCAATTTTCCTAGCTCCTACCTAAACCTCTCGCCATTTCCATGGCTCCTACTCCGAGCTAGAACCTAGTCTAGCATTCTAACACGACGGCCAGGGGGGCGGCTAGGGGCGGACGCGACGGCCAGGGGGCCAGCTAGGGGCGGGCGCGACGGCCAGGGGGCCAGCTAGGGGTGGGACCGACGGCCAGGGGGCCGGCTAGGGGCGGACGCGATGGCCAGGGGGCCAGCTGAGGGCGGGCGCGACGGCCAGGGGGCCAGCTAGGGGCGGGCGCGACGGCCAGGGGGCTGGCTAGGGGCGGAACCGTGGGCGGGCGAGGGGGGGACCTAACTATCAGAATTGAAATTGAATTGATGGTAAAGTGAGAGTACACACAAATATACCTAAGTGTTGTACCCTCTAAGAGGTAACCCTATACAGTCTATACAACCATGACAAATACAGATGTTTGACACACCCCCTAGACTGCATAGGGGAATACCCTAAACAAGCAGCTCAGGGCGGCACTACTAGTCCAACCTCTGAGACAAGGGTCTGAGAGACCAGTCAGAAGGAGTACAGACAAGGCAAGAACAAGACCAGGGCGGCACTACTACTCCAGCCACTGGGAGAGGACACAAGTCCAGTCTGAGTATACATATAAAGGACAGTACAAGTCAAGGTCCTAGCAAGTGAGAAGCGACAGGAACTAGACCAAGCTGTACACAGTGCCGCTGATGATCTTTAGGCGCAAGCGCCTTCGTAAAGATATCAGCTGTGTTGGCACCTGAGGCCAAGTGTACTACGCGAGCCTGACGTCGCTGCTGTAGCTCACGCAGGAGGAAGTACCACAGCTGAATGTGCTTCGCTCTGCCCTCGAATCGAGGCTCCTGACACAGGAGGATCATGGCCCTGTTGTCAGCGAACAGGACCGGGGCAGAGCTAGGCCGCTCACCTAAGTCAGTGAGCAAGAAGGTCAGCCAGCGGAGCTCCTGTGCCGCCATGGCACCAGCGTAGATCTCAGCCTCACAGCTGGACTGTGCAACAGACGAGGAGCGAGTATCTCTCCACGAGACGGCACCTGAGCCAAGGCTGAAGCAGTAGCCCTGGGTAGACCTGAGTGTCTCAGCGTCGTCTGCCCACGAAGCGTCTGTGTGTCCAGTAAGGACCACTGGCCTGCGTCCTCCAAGCACTAACCCTATGCCCGATGTACTAGCAAGATAACGCAGAACCCTCTTAGCGGCAGACCAGTGCTGCGGTCGGTGTCTGCCTGTGGCCACAAAGCGCGCCAGGATGCTGAGAGGGTATGCGAGATCTGGGCGAGTGCAAGTCATCAGGTACATGAGGCAACCCACCAGCTCTGCGTAGGGGCCGCTGGGCTCTACCAACTCCTCAGACACTGGAGCGGAGAGTCTGTGGTCTACAGGCAAAGGGGTGGGCTGTGCAGAGGAGAACTGAAGGCTGAACCTCTGAAGGACCTGGCGCACCAAGTGTGACTGAGTCAGGGTGATGGTGCGCGCAGCTCTGTCCCTGGAGATCTGCAAGCCAAGGTAACGGCGCAGTTCTCCAAGGTCAGTGCAGGTGTGTCTCTTCAGCAGCTCTGCCTTCACGGAGGCCAGTGCGTCCCTGTCTGCCGTGGCAAAGACCAGGTCGTCGACGTAAACAAGGATGTAGAACGGAGTCTGGCCAGCACGAACGAAGAGTGAAGGGTCTGCGGAAGACGGAAAGAACTGCAGGTCAGCAAGGGTAGCACGAAGAGTGTCGTGCCACTCACGGGGAGCCTGGCGCAGGCCGTAGACAGGGCGCCGCAGGAGCCACTGGGTCCCAGGAGGGAAGGTGCCAGTAAAGCCCGGAGGGCGACGCAGGTAGACCTGCTCGTGTAGGCTGCCCTGAAGGAAGGCAGTGGAGAAGTCGAGGGAGTGAAGCTCGTAGTCACGCTGAGCAGCTAGGTGTAACAGAACCCGAAGAGTAGTCATCTTCGGGGTCGGAGCGAAAGTCTGGAAGAAGTCCACCCCCTCGCGCTGACTGAAGCCTCTAGCCACATAGCGCGCCTTGAAGACAGGCGGCTCTCCAGGAGGGCGCTTCACCTTGAAGAGCCAGCGGCCATCGACTACGTTCACCCCAGGTGGGGGAACTGCGTCGACGAAGGTGCCGGTGGATCTCCAAGATGCCATCTCCTGCTCCATGGCAGCTATCCACTGTGAGGCCCAGGGTCCTGAAGTCGCCTCAGCGTGAGTGCGAGGGGTCGGGATGTCGAAAGCCTCTGGGTCACCCTCAGGGACTAGCAGCATGGAACAGAGATGGGGAGCAGCCTCGGAGAGGAAAGCAAGCTCGAACTGGCGGTCCTCCAGGACGTCACTGCCAAGGGCAGGAGCACCCCCGACAGACGGAGGATAGGCAGGGTCAGAGACCAGAGCGGTGGCGTAGTCAAGGCGGCGGGTAGAGGCGAAGTCAGCGACAGCAGCGATAAGAGCGTCAAGGCACGAGACCGGAACAGACGGGTCGGTAACGAGAGAGGCAAGGACCCGAGGAACGAGAGGACGAGCGGCACGAAGGTAGTCGGATAGCGGGGGGGGCGCAACAACAAGGGAGGACGGAGGAGGCGACGGCAGAAGGGGAGGACGAGACGCGTGGGAACGAAGCAACATAGGGTGGGAGCGCAAGACAGGCGAGGCAGGACGAGCATGGGAGGGGCGGTGAGACCAGACGTGGGACGGAGGAGTCGGGTCAGGAGACCGGGGAGGGGACACAGGAGGGGAACGAGGGGGGAGACGAGCCGGGGACGAGTCCGGCGGAGGGAAAACAGGGCCGTAGACAGGAAGAGGAGGAGACGGTCGGGGAGGAACCGACGCAGGGTCGGGGGACGGAAGGCCGAGCAGGCGAAGGGCGGACACCGGCGGGGACCGCTGCTGCGGCGGCACAACGGCGACACCTGGACCGCAAGCTGTTCCTCGGCGACCACCGGCCCTCTCCACACCAGCACCCCCAGAGGGACCACCCCCAGGGCGACCGGGACGAGCACCCCCAGAGTCAGCGAACGGGGGCTGCGACGGCGGCGGCGGCGGCGGCGGAGGCGACGGCGGCGGCGGCGGCGGCGACGACGGCTGCAGCAGCGGTAGTGGCGGTGGAGGAGGGGACTGGGGAGGGGACACCTGGGGAGGGGCGGCCGGCGAGGACTGCACAGGAGGGCCACCAGAGTCAGAAGACTCCTCAACCGGGTCCACGGACGCAAGGGGGGTGACGTGGGACACACCAGAGGGGGCGGGACGAGGAGGAGGAGGAGGAGGGGCAGGGACTACCGGGGAAGGGGTGACCAGGAACAGGGGGGGGGTAACCGGGGGACCACGGTGGGGAAAGCAGTGGTAGTAGGAGACAGACTCGTCAAAGGTGACGTCACGAGAGTGAAAGAAGCGGTGAGACGGCGGGTGGTAAAAGTGCCAGTCGGACGCGTCAAGGGGTTCGCAGGGCGGTGCTGATCGAGAAGAACGGGCCGAACCCAATGCGGCGGCGGGCTGGCGACGACTCGAATGCAAGGGCCGGCCGGCGGACGCGAGGGGCCAGCCAGCGGCGGCAATGGGGGCCGGCTAGGAGCTGGCGCGACGGCGAGTAGAGGCGGCCGCGACGGCGACTAGGGACAGCCGTGACGTCGGCTAGGGGCGGCCGCGATGGTAGGAGCGACCGTAGGGCGGCTGGAGACGGCAGCGACGGTGACTAGGGGCGGCAGCGACGGCGAGGAGCAGGCGCGACGGCGGCTAGGGGTGGGCGCGACGGCGAGGGGCGGCCGTGGGACGGCGGGAAACGGCCACGGGGGCCGGCTAGGAGCGGGCGCGAAACGGCCAGGGCGCCGGCTAGGAGGGGCTCGACGGCCAGGGCGCCGGCTAGGAGGGGCTCGACGGCCAGGGGGCCGGCTAGGGGCGGGCGCCAACGGCTATGGGGCCGGCTAGGGGCGGGCGTGAACGGCCAGGGGCGGGCGCGAACGGTCAGCGGGTCGGCTAGGAGCGGGCGCGAACGGCCAGGGGGGGGCGGCTAGGAGTGGGCGCGACGGCCAGGGAGCCAGCTAGGGGCGGGTGCAACGGCCAGGGGGTCGGCTAGGGGCGGACGCGACGGCCAGGGGGCCAGCTAGGGGCGGGCGCAACGGGTAGGGGGTCGGCTAGGGGCGGACGCGACGGCCAGGGGGCCAGCTAGGGGCGGGCGCGACGGCCAGGGGGCCAGCTAGGGGCGGACGCGACGGCCAGGGGGCCAGCTAGGGGTGGGCGCGATTGCCAGGGGGCCAGCTAGGGGCGGACGCGACGGCCAGGGGGCCAGCTAGGGGCGGGCGCGACGTGTTAAAATTATATATTTAGTTATATAATTGTTAGGCTTGGTAGGTTACCTAACTTTACTGTAGAGGGTACAATCCCCTCCTTGTATGCCTCTCTTTCTATTCCAACCCTCTTTTCTCTCAATTTTCCTAGCTCCTACCTAAACCTCTCGCCATTTCCATGGCTCCTACTCCGAGCTAGAACCTAGTCTAGCATTCTAACACGACGGCCAGGGGGGCGGCTAGGGGCGGACGCGACGGCCAGGGGGCCAGCTAGGGGCGGGCGCGACGGCCAGGGGGCCAGCTAGGGGCGGGCCCGACGGCCAGGGGGCCGGCTAGGGGCGGACGCGATGGCCAGGGGGCCAGCTGAGGGCGGGCGCGACGGCCAGGGGGCCAGCTAGGGGCGGGCGCGACGGCCAGGGGGCTGGCTAGGGGCGGAAGCGTGGGCGGGCGAGGGGGGGACCTAACCTACTATGATACCATAACAGAATGAATAATCGACTAGAATGGGGAGATACAAGGCAATATAGACTAGTGAGCTGTACCCACTAAGGCACAAACATATATAGTCTACAGTAACTGTATAAGTTATGTTTGACAGTGTTTTATCCGGGGGAATACGGTATAAGTTGACTGTTTTAGGCTAGGAACGTTGAGGAGAGAAAAGAGAGGGATACAAGGAGGGGATTGTACCCTCTACAATACAGTTCGATAACCTACCAAGCCTACCAACTATATAACACTGGATATAATTTAACAAATGCATCATTTTGTCGCGCGTAACAACAGCTGCTGCAATCTCGCAACGCGCATCGGCAGCAGCGACGACCGCGGAGCAGCCGATCGAATTAGCCTAGTTGGGAGAGGGAGCGGTTTCTCGTCACTAGGTAGGTAGTGTGTGCTGTTGTAGATTGAGATCTACGAATGAATTAGACTAGGTGGCAGGTCTGTGGATCTGCAACCAGATATGGAGCACATGACTCCTTACTGCACGATCCTTACGAGTCTTGTCATAATCTCTCAATTTCGAAAAATAATTTTTGAGTGTTCATACCTCTTGCACTCACCTTGAGCTACGTTCATTGATCTAGGGCTGCTGGGTGGTGTTGACTTCGGGTCTCCGAAGTACGGAATATAAACAAATGGACGAGTGAAGGGCAGTTCTGAAGCACGTCATTTTCAGGCAAAGACAAATATAAAATGACGTAAGTTCGCATTTTCAAAAGAAATATAGAAGAATCTACAGATCGCTCGCGCGCTTGGAGGTGAACTTGACAGCGGCGGGATCTACGTTCTGGCCGATGGAGCGGAGGTTTTGGTTGGCACCAACACGACCAGCATTCACCTTCTCAGGATACACACCATCCTTGGGATGCAGGTACTGCACCTCGCCGCTGGGGAACACCCTGTAAAACTGGTAGTTAATCTTGAACTTGGTCCTCAGTTGTGTGCCAAGAGCCAGGCATTGCTCCTTCCTCGCGAGCTTCAGCGAGTTCTCACCAGCTCTCATGGTGGCAGCGCCACCAGTGGGCATCTCGAACACCTGCTCCTTCTTCGACTCCCACGTGATCACGTAAAACTCCTCATCCTGGGCCTTACGAAGAAGACCGCCGGTGCTGCCGCCAAAGATCGGGGACGGAACGTCGCCCTTCAGCTCTGGGGGGGTGAACCCAGCGGGAGCCTCAGCGGCCATGGTGAGGCGGGAGATGGCCGAGGAAGCGAACCGCAGGGGCTGGCCTGAGACGAAGCTGCTGCCATTGCGCTGCTGGGGCTTGGCGGACAGAGCAGCAGGAACGCGCACAGCGGAGGACGACGCAATGGCTGCCATGGTGGCTAGAACACTGCTATCGTTGGTGGATGCTTTAGGGAGTGAGCAGGAATATCTGGCTGGAACCGAAGCAGAAGAAACTTTGCGAGACCTATACACCCTTGGGCTCTGTTGATTCAAACTCCCTGGTTCTTCCAGATCGCAAACAAATTCGCAATCGGTTTCTCACCAATCGTGATGGACACACGTGGATTACCTGCCCCGTTGGATTGGCACTCGCGAAACCTTCTTGGGAATTTGACGAAATACTCCAGGGATGCCCGCGTGGAGAGTTCTGCCTTCAGAGGGAACAGCAGCAGACTGCAAGATTTACCTGTCACTCTCTAGCTGACGAAAAACAACGATGGAGGGAAATCCCCGAGTGTTACGAATACTCCGACATGAAAAAACTGTAATATGTTGATCGGTAAGACGGAATTTCTTCATATCTAGTTGCTAATATTTCTCCATATGAGCATGGCATGGCTATTGTTGGGCTGAGAAAAGCCCTTAGGATCTTTCCATAGACTAATTCCCACTTGTACAAGATGCTTGAGTAGTGCAGCGGAAGAGTTGAGTAGTTGAACCCTTGCACTAGTATGTGAGAGCAAGTGATTAATTAAAAGAAACAAGCATACACCTATCAGAAATGAGAATTGAAGATTGATAGAGTGAGAGTACACACAGATATACCTAAGTGTTGTACTCTCTAAGAGGCGACCCTATACAGTCTATACAAACATGACAAATACACATGTTTGACACACCCCCTACACTGCATAGGGGAATGCCCTAGACAAACAGCTCAGGGCGGCACTACTAGTCCAACCTCTGAGACAAGGGTCTGAGAGACCAGTCAGAAGGAGTACAAACAAGGCAAGAACAAGACCAGGGCGGCACTACTAGTCCAGCCACTGGGAGAGGACACACGTCCAGTCTGAGTATACGTATAAAGGACAGTACAAAGTCAAGGTCCTAGCAAGTGAGAGGCTACAGGAACTAGACCAAGCTGTACACAGTACCGCTGATGATCTTTAGGCGCAAGCGCCTTCGTAAAGATATCAGTCGTGTTGGCACCTGAGGCCAAGTGTACTACGCGAGCCTGACGTCGCTGCTGCAGCTCACGCAGGAGGAAGTACCGCAGCTGAATGTGCTTTGCTCTGCCCTCGAGTCGAGGCTCCTGACACAGGAGGATCATGGCCCTGTTGTCAGCGAACAGGACCGGGGCAGAGCTAGGCCGCTCACCTAAGTCAGTGAGCAAGAAGGTCAGCCAGCGGAGTTCCTGTGCCGCCATGGCACCAGCGTAGATCTCAGCCTCACAGCTGGACTGCGCAACAGACGAGGAGCGGGTAGCTCTCCACGAGACGGCACCTGAGCCAAGGCTGAAGCAGTAGCCCTGGGTAGACCTGAGTGTCTCAGCGTCGTCTGCCCACGAAGCGTCTGTGTGTCCAGTAAGGACCACTGGCCTGCGTCCTCCTAGCACTAACCCCATGCCCGATGTACTAGCAAGATAACGCAGAACCCTCTTAGCGGCAGACCAGTGCTGCGGTCGGTGTCTGCCTGTGGCCACAAAGCGAGCCAGGATGCTGAGAGGGTATGCGAGATCTGGGCGAGTGCAAGTCATCAGGTACATGAGGCAACCCACCAGCTCTGCGTAGGGGCCGCTGGGCTCTACCAACTCCTCAGACACTGGAGCGGAGAGTCTGTGGTCTACAGGCAAAGGGGTGGGCTGTGCAGAGGAGAACTGAAGGCTGAACCTCTGAAGGACCTGGCGCACCAAGTGTGACTGAGTCAGGGTGATGGTGCGCGCAGCTCTGTCCCTGGAGATCTGCAAGCCAAGGTAATGGCGCAGTTCTCCAAGGTCAGTGCACGTGTGTCTCTTCAGCAGCTCTGCCTTCACGGAGGCTAGTGCGTCCCTGTCAGCTGTGGCAAAGACCAGGTCGTCGACGTAAACAAGGATGTAGAACGGAGTCTGGCCAGCACGAACGAAGAGTGAAGGGTCTGCGGAAGACGGAAAGAACTGCAGGTCAGCAAGCGTAGCACGCAGAGTGTCGTGCCACTCACGGGGAGCCTGGCGCAGGCCGTAGACGGGGCGTCGCAGGAGCCACTGGGTCCCAGGAGGGAAGGTGCCAGTGAAGCCCTGAGGGCGCAGCAGGTAGACCTGCTCGTGTAGGCTGCCCTGAAGGAAGGCAGTGGAGAAGTCGAGGGAGTGAAGCTCGTAGTCACGCTGAGCAGCTGGGTGTAACAGAACCCGAAGAGTAGTCATCTTCGGGGTCGGAGCGAAGGTGTGGAAGAAGTCCACCCCCTCGCGCTGACTGAAGCCTCTAGCGACATAGCGCGCCTTGAAGACAGGCGGCTCTCCAGGAGGGCGCTTCACCTTGAAGAGCCAGCGGCCATCGACTACGTTCAACCCAGGCGGGGGAACTGCGTCGACGAAGGTGCCGGTGGATCTCCAAGATGCCATCTCCTGCTCCATGGCAGCTATCCACTGCGAGGCCCAGGGTCCCGAAGTCGCCTCAGCGTAAGTGCGAGGGGTCGGGATGTCGAAAGCGTCTGGGTCACCCTCAGGGACTAGCAGCATGGAACAGAGATGGGGAGCAGCCTCGGACAGGAAAGCAGCTCGAACTGGCGGTCCTCCAGGACGTCACTGCCAAGGGCAGGAGCACCCCCGACAGACGAAGGACAGGCAGGGTCAGAGACCAGAGCGGAGGCGTAGTCAAGGCGGCGGGTAGAGGCGAAGTCAGCGACAGCAGCGACAAGAGCGTCAAGGCACGAGGCCGGAACAGACGGGTCGGTAACGAGAGAGGCAAGGACCCGAGGAACAAGGGGACGAGCGGCACGAAGGTAGTCAGACAGCGGGGGGGGTGCAACAACAAGGGAGGACGGAGGAGGCGACGGCAGAAGGGGAGGAGGAGACGCGTGGGAACGAAGCAACATATGGTGGGAGCGCGAGACAGGCGAGGCAGGACGAGCACGGGAGGGACGGTGAGACCAGACGTGCGACGGAGGAGTCGGGTCAGGAGACAGAGGAGGGGACACAGGAGGGGAACGAGGGGGGAGATGGGCCGGGGACGAGTCCGGCGGAGGGAAGACAGGGCCGTAGACAGGAAGAGGAGGAGACGGCCGAGGAGGAACCGACGCAGGGTCGGGGGACGGAAGGCCGAGCAGGCGAAGGGCTGACACCGGCGGGGACTGCTGCTGCGGCGGCACAACGGCGACACCGGGACCGCAAGCTTCTCCTCGGCTACCACCGGCACTCTCCACACCAGCACCCCCAGAGGGACCACCCCCAGGGCTACCGGGACGAGCACCCCCAGAGTCAGCGAACGGGTGCTGCGACGGCGGCGGCGGCGGCAGCGACAACGACGGCTGCAGCGGCGGCAGAGGCGGTGGAGGGGGGGACTGGGGAGGGGACGCCAGGGGAGGGGCGGCCGGCGAGGACTGAACAGGAGGGCCACCAGAGTCAGAAGACTCCTCAACCGGGTCCACCGACGGAAGGGGGGTGACGTGGGACACACCAAAGGGGGCGGGACGGGGAGGAGGAGGAGGAGGGGCAGGGACTACCGGGGAAGGAGTGACCAGGAACAGGTAACCGGGGGACCACGGTGGGGGAAGCGACGGTAGTAGGAGACAGACTCGTCAAAGGTGACGTCACGAGAGTGAAAGAAGCGGTGAGACGGCGGGTGGTAAAAGTGCCAGTCGGACGCGTCAAGGGGAAAACCGAGGAAGACGCAGGGAAGGGTGCGGGCAGTGAGCTTGTCCGTGCCGGAGGCACGGACGTGAGCAAGGCAGCCCCAGACGTGGAACGCAGACGCGTCACCAGGAGACCCAGTCCAAAGACGAGTCGGCGAAACCTGCGGCTGCTGAGGGTGCGGCCACAAGTTAAGCTGGTGAGAAGCGTAGCGCACAGCGAACGGCCACAGAAAATGGGGTGCACCTGTCACAGGATCGAATGTGTCGAGGAAAGGTTGCACTATCGATCGGTACAAGGCGCTTTTATACTTCCAGAATACATCAGGTAACCAGGTTTATCTTATCCTAAGGGAATAGACCCTTCTAGAAGATAGAATCACCCTGCGTATAGCCACGCGAGGCTATTGGCTTTAAGAGATTATGACAGGATTACGCTAGATAGCGTGTCTAGAACATTCCATGCTTGGTCGGTGATATAATTATAATAAGGGAAGAAACCAAAGGATAATGGAAAATGGGGAATATGAGGCAAAAGGAGGTGAGATAAAAAGAGGAATGAAATGAAGATGAAATATGGAAAGGCCAAGTGGTGTAACGGAGTCGTACTCTCACACTTCCCCCCCTCAAAGCTGGGTGGTAGAAGTAACACCCTGCTTGACAAGGTAGTCATGCAGAGGACGACGGGCGTTACCCATGTCGGTCTCAGAGACCCAGCTGTCCTCAGAAGGATCATAACCCTTCCAACGGATGAGAAGCTCCACGGTGCCATTCCGACGACGGCGGTGTGCGAGCACGGACTCGACCTCGTACTCGGGTTCGTTCTGGACGAGGACGGGCGGCGGCGGCGGCGGCTGGCGTCCCACGAAGATCGTGTTAGGATCTCGATAGGGCTTCAGAAGTTGGACATGGAAGGCATTATGAATCTTCCAGGTAGCTGGCAGGCGTAAGCGGAAGGTAACAGGAGTGACCTGGGCTTCAACGAGGAAAGGCCCGAAGAAGCGAGGTCGAAGTTTAGATGGGAGATGGCTGATGTCCAGGTTGCGGGTGTCAAGGAGAACCTGGTCTCCCACGGAAATGGTGTGGTCGTTGCGATGGCGATCGGCCTGGCGCTTCTGTTGCTGTTGAATGTCAAGGAGGCGCTTATGGGTCCGATCCCAAAGCTGATGCATGGTTGTGATGAAGTCATGTGCAGGTTGAACTGTTGCTGGTGTTGTCGGTTTCTGTGGTGTGAGTGGGTGGCGTCCGTAGCAGAGGAAGAACGGCGTCTGTCCCGTAGTGGCGTGTGTAGCGTTGTTGTAGGCAAACTCCAGGACGGGTAGGTGCAAGTCCCATTTGGAGATGTCGTCCTTGCAGGCTGCTCGGAGGAGTTGCTCAACAATTTGGTTGAGGCGCTCGGTCTGTCCGTCTGTCTGCGGATGATATGCGGATGACATGGCGAGTTTGGTGCCGAGCAGAGACATAAGTTCCTTCCAGAACTTGCTAGTGAACTTAGGGTCTCGGTCGGAAATGAGTGTGGTTGGGATGCCATGCTGTGAGATGATGTGACGAACGAAGAGTTGTGCTGTCTGCTCGGTGCGTGCTGTCGTGTGTGTCGGGATGAAGTGTCCCATTTTGGAGAACTTGTCAATGACGACAAGGATGGCGTCATGACCGCTGGAAGTAGGTGGTAACCCGGTAATGAAGTCCAGGCTAACCACTTGCCATGGTTGTTCTGGGACAGGAAGAGGCTGCAGTAGTCCCGCCTTTTTCTGCTTGCTGCTCTTCATCCGCTGACATGTATCACACGAGGTGACGAACTTCTGGACGTCGTCTGCCATATGGGGCCAGTAGTAGTGTTTGGCGATACCGGTGAGCGTCTTGTTGCTACCGAAGTGTCCGGCGTAGAGGACGTCGTGATATTCTTCGAGTAGTAACTGGCGCAAAGGAGGGTAATTGGGTACCCAGATTTTTGTGGATCCCTTCCGGTATGCGATGTCATTGTCCCACTGTAGCAGATGTCGCCTTTCTGCCAATCGAATTTCGGGGTCGATGGCGTACCCGTGGGTGAAGAGTCCCTTGAGTAGTGGATTCATCCCTTCGATCTGAATCGCGGCAACGTGTGCAGGCCGGCTGAGAGCGTCTGCTTTGTTCTTGTGGCCGGGCTTGTACACGATGTCGTAGTGGAAGTGTGTCTCGAGGAAGTCGATCCACCGGACCTGCCGCCTGGAAAGGTTGGGTTGTGTCTTCAAATATTTCAGGCTGCAGTGGTCGGTGTAGACGGTCGTTCTTCGTCCTTCGAGATAGCATCTCCACGCTTTGAAGGCGATGACGATAGCAAGAGCCTCTTTGTCGTGTATCGGGTAGTTGAGTTCTGCCCCGTGCAGTTTCTTGCTGAGGTAGGCAATTGGTTGCAGTCCATTCCCTTGGTCTTGCATCAAGACTGCACCCACGGCCTGATCACTGGCATCTGCTTCAATGACGTAGTCACGTTCGGGATCTGGCAAGATGAGCACCGGTGCGGATGTTAGTGCTTGTTTCAGCTGCTCCACGGCTTCCTGGTGCTTCGTTTCCCATTTGTAGGGCGTGTTCTTCTTCAGCAGATTCGTGAGTGGTGCTGCGATTTTCGCATACTGTGGCACGAACCTGTTGTAGTAATTAGCGAAGCCTAGGAACTGCTGCAACTCCTTCACGTTCTCGGGTGTCTTCCACGCACGTACGGCTTCGACTTTCTTGGGGTCGACGTGAACTCCTTGAGCGCTCACCAAGTGTCCTAGAAATTGGACTTTCTCCAGGGCGAATTCGCTCTTGGACAGTTTGACGTAGAATCGTTCCCGTCGAAGAATTTCGAAGACGCGTCGCAGGTGTTCGACGTGCTGCTTCATGTCGCGTGAGTAGATAAGTATGTCGTCCAGGTACACCACCACGCACTCGTCCAAAAGTGGTCGTAGAATGTGGTTCATTTCGGCTTGGAATGTTGCCGGTGCGTTGGTGAGTCCGAACGGCATGACCAAATACTCGTACGATCCGTACCGAGTTCGGAAAGCAGTTTTGTGGATAGAGTTGTCCGCCATCCGTATCTGCCAGTATCCGGACCGCAGATCCAGTTTGGAAAATACCGTAGCTCCCCGAAGCTGGTCAAGCAGGTCATCGATTCGCGGTATCGGATATTTGTTCTTGATGGTCTGCTTGTTAAGAGCTCGGTAGTCGATGCACATGCGCAGGCTTCCGTCCGGTTTCGGTGTGAAGAGTACTGGGGCACCGTACGGCGAAGTGGATGGTCGGATGAGTCCTTTGGCTAGGAGATACTCGATTTGTTTTTTCATGTCAGTCAGCTCCGTAGGGCTGAGCCGATATGGTGCTCGGAAGGTCGGCTTCGAACCCGGTTCCTCCACGATCTCGTGTTGATGCGTTCGGTATGGTGGTAGCTCGTTCGGTAGGTCGTCAGGAAGAATGTCTTGGAACTCCTTCAGCAATTCCTTGATTTTTTCTGGAGTTTCCGAGGCTTTCTCTCCGTCATTCTCCACCTCTGTTGCTATCGCCAGGAACCCGGTGTCGGTTCGTTTCACGTCCTTCTCGAATCGTGCGAGTGTCTCCACTGGGATATCTCCTGTATCGTCCCAGTTGGGTAGCTGTACTCTCCGTCCATTGTTGTAGATGCTTGCGGTGCGTTTTACCCAGTTGATCTCGGGGTTGAATCTTTTCAGGAAGTCTCGCCCGAAGATCAAGTCAAGCCCTTTGATGTTGGTGATGGGGAGTGCAGGTCTCCAGCGCAGTGGTCCGATTTGTAGATGTAGCACTGCTTCGCCGTGTACTGGTAACTTGCTGCCGTCCACCATCGTTGCAGAGAATCCTGAAGGCTTGTACTCTTCCCGGAGTCGGTCGATCATTGCCTTGTCGCAGACGGTGTGTGATGCTCCGCTGTCCACGAGTGCTTGGAGGCGTCGTCCTTTGCAGATGACCTCGAGCACGAGGGGCAGTCGTTGCTCGGAGTACCCAAAGATAGTTTCATTGATTGGGTCATAGGGTACATCCCAATATTCCGTACACACCTTTGTGTTGCTGTCTACTCCTGAGCTGGCAGCTGGCCGAGGCTGCTTGGAGAACGGCTCTTCTCCAGGGCCCGGAGTTTCTTTGACGACTGTGCGCGTTACTGATGCCGAAGAACTGGATGCATCCGTAGAAGGAGTTCGGGGTTTGTGCAGCTTCTTGTAGACCCCCAGCTTCCTCTTGAGCTGCTTCAGCTCCACCGACGTCTTCCCTGGGGAACGGGTAGTCGTTGTGGGCTGGTGTCGGGAGAGGACGTTGACTCCGTGGAAAGGTCGGCTTCTTTCCACACTCCTTAATTTGGTCCCCAAGTTGTCCGGTACCGGTATAATCTCCAAAGCTGTCTGCTTCTTTTGGAGTCCCTCCCGAAATTTCTCCAAGGCTCTAGCCCCTCGAACATCATAAGTTTTCATTAAAGCATCTTTATAAGATAACTTTAACGAACTCTTATAATTTCTTGGGTCTTCAAGGAGTTTCCCTGTCTCGGCAGAGTCTTTTTTCGCGGAGTCTGATTTTTCCTCGGCGAATTTCCCTGGCGAAGACTGGTCGTGGGGTGGAGATTTTCCCCCATCATTTCCTCCTGCTCGCGTCGAATCAGCTTCGTCGAAGTTGATTTTCTCGGAATCCCGCGGCCGTTTCCGGATCTTTTTATTTTCGCCAGCTAGATCCGCAATTACTGGCGACTCCCGTTTTTTGTCTTCTGATTGGCCGGAAGATTTCCGCCACTGTTGCGTGCCCGATACTCTGCGCGTGCGGCCTTCATTTTGTTGCAGTCGAAGATTCGGTGGCCCGGCACCCCGCAAAAATCACACGTGTAGTTGGTGTTTTTCGGACGTGGCCGCCCCTCGAATCTGTCGACTTCCATCGGGTCGGCGAACGTGGGGTGAGCCGAGCGGTCGCCATGTCGCGTACTGCCGACGTGCGTCCGTCGTGTTCCGGCGTTGACCATGTCGAAGCGCTCCGCGGCCGAAACGACGTCACTGTAGTTCGCGTAGTTTGACGCTGCGACTTGTCGTTTGACTTCGGTCTTCAGCCCGGCGAGGTACGATTGTACTTTTTCCCCTTCGGTCAGGTCGGGAATGCGGTTATAAAATTCTTCCATCTGCTGCGTGTACTGTGCTACACTCCCGAACTGTCGATGGCGATGAATTTTTTCGCGGGCAAGGAAACCTGAATTTATCGGTTCGAAGCGTTTCAGCAGGTCGGCGCGGAACTGCTGCCACGTGGCTTCACCGTGGATGAAGGTGCTGTTGCCGCCAATCCACTCGAGTGCCGGCCCTCGCATTAGTGTCGCCGCGAGTCGTACGCGTTGACCGTCCCCGACTGGCGAGCTCCATCCGACGGCTGCGAAGTAGATCTCCATCCCGGCGATCCATCTGCGGGCGTCGGAGTTTCGATCGCTCGGATCGAACGGCTCAGGTGGGCGCGGTTTTGGAGCCTCGAGAAATTGCTGCGACTGCTGCGTCGTCGCCGTTGTCGTCTCGTGCTGCGCTCCGGCGAGTCGAGTTACTCGCTCGAACTGGTTTCGCCACGCTTCGCGATCCGCTCGCATTTCCTCCTGAAGGGCTGCGATGCGCGCGAAGAGCTGCTGGGTAACCTCGGTGTTGTCGAATGTTGCCATCCTGTTCAAAACACGCACGGAGGGGGTAATTCGAAAATCGCGGAGCTGGTGCTTACCAGAATCGGCGTCGAATTAGTCGCCCCCGGCGGTTTTTCGAGGCAGGATCCCCGCTTAGCTGAGCGCGGTCGAGTGAGAAAAGCTCTGATTACCAAGTGTCACAGGATCGAATGTGTCGAGGAAAGGTTGCACTATCGATCGGTACAAGGCGCTTTTATACTTCCAGAATACATCAGGTAACCAGGTTTATCTTATCCTAAGGGAATAGACCCTTCTAGAAGATAGAATCACCCTGCGTATAGCCAGGCGAGGCTATTGGCTTTAAGAGATTATGACAGGATTACGCTAGATAGCGTGTCTAGAACATTCCATGCTTGGTCGGTGATATAATTATAATAAGGGAAGAAACCAAAGGATAATGGAAAATGGGGAATATGAGGCAAAAGGAGGTGAGATAAAAAGAGGAATGAAATGAAGATGAAATATGGAAAGGCCAAGTGGTGTAACGGAGTCGTACTCTCACAGCACCGGCATGGATCATGGAGGTGCGAGCCACCTCCATGACCAAACCGATGCGTCGCTCAGCGACCCCATTCTGCTGTGGGGAGTCCGGTAGGGTGAACGTCTAGATGATGCCCTCCGCACGACAAAAGCGACCAAGGACACCTGAGGCAAACTCGCCACCACGGTCGGAGTGAAGACGCAAGACAGGGAGACCGCGGTGGACACGCGCAGAGACAAGCCAGGGGATGAGAGCGCCAGGCACGTCGGCCTTGCGCTCCAGGGGAAAGACTGTGGTGTAACGAGTGAAGTCGTCGACAAGCACAAGGAAGTAGCGCTCTCGACGCGGCCCAGGGACGGGGGCGGGGTCTGCAGCGGCGCGGCGGTAGGGGGAAACGAGGAGGAGTGCGGGGCACGGCGAAGCCGACCCTCGACACAAGGCGTGCAAGGTGGGGCTGGGGAGGAGGGAAACGCGGGGAGGGAACCTGGGAGACCAAGGACAAGACCGTGCTGGAACATGTGACGCAGACGCGGGAGTGCAGGGTGACCTAGGCGGTGGTGCCAAAGGAGAGTCGGGTGAGTGAGGGACCGACAGGAGCAGGCAGCAGCAACCTGGGTAGACGTAGCCACCTGAGGAGGCGCCCCAGCCGAGGGGGTCACGGTGTCCAGAGTGAACAGGCCGGACACCGGGTCCCGAGGGAACGTGGACAGGGGGGCACCAGTGGCGGCCTCGGTACAGACAGCATACCGCTCGTGACCAGGGAACGTAGTGGTGACGCCAAGGTCCTGCAGGCAGCCGACACCAACTAGGTTCCTGGAGAACGAGGGGATATGCAGACCTGTGAGAGTGCCCGAAGGAACCGCCGGACAGGGAAGGGTGGTGGAACTGCGGGCGACTACCGGACCGCCGGAGGGGTCAGCAAGAGAGACGGCAGCTGGGACAGGAAGCGGCGTCAGGGTGGTGGAGTCGTGGAAGAAACACCGAGAAGCGCCAGAGTCCAAGGTGAAGGAAAGCGAAGCAGAGGCGTCTGGCAACGGAACGACGGCGGAAGCACCAAGACTACACAAAGCAGGGGATCCTACGCCTGACGCAGCAGGGGAGGCTAAGCTAGGCACACCTACACTAGGCAACAGTGAGTAATAAGCGGGAAGCACACTAGAGTCATCAGCATACATCACATGCAGAGCAGCAACAATGGCATCCATGTCCATATCAAAAATCTGAATCTTGCGACTAAGCAAACTGTGCCAGTCCGGGAGGTCTGGCGACGGGCCGAAGCGCTGACGAAAGAGGTCGTCCAGGCGACGAAAACAGCCAGGAGTGGAGTGACCGAGCCTACCGCAAACGAAACCGCGGCGAGGACCGGTCTGGATCTGGTACTGACAAGCCCGCCGGCAGAGCCACCACTCGGCACACCACCACGCGCCCGGCCACCGCCAGCGTCGGGCCACCCGGGCGGGAGGACACTCGTCTGCCGCGTCTGCGACGGCTGCTGCGGCTGCTGCGAAGGCTGCGACTGCGGCGGCTGCTGCGGCTGCTGCAACTGCAGGGGCGGCGGCTCAGCTGGACTGGGCAGGGTCCCCTCGTCCGCTCCAGCACCAGACGACCCGACCCCACCACTACCCCCTCCCGCACCCCCGTCGCCGCCGCCGCCGCGCCCAACCTTGGGGCGGCGGCCCTTCCCCGAACGAAACTGCGCTGCAGCAGCAGTCTCAGCCACTGCGGCAAAGCCGTCGGAGAAGGTACACTGGGCGATAGCACAACCCTGAAAGATAGGGACCGGCACGACACCGCTCGCCTGGGCGATGGAGCGGTGACAGGTCTCTATCACAGTCAGAGTGTCTACAAAGTCAGTGAGGGTGAGGTCTGCGGGGTGAATGCTAAGGAAGCGGTCGCGAGCGACAGCAAGGCGGTCAGGGAGGCGGGTGGCAAGCAGGTAGAGGGTAGAGGTAATGGGCGGCTGGTGGGCTCTAAGCTGTGCATCAGTGCAGGCTGCACGCCAGGTCTCATCTATCGAGCGCAGGTGGGCAGCGAGGTCAGAGACAGTGGGGAAAGATGCAAGGTCAGGAAAGAGCATCGGGAGGATCAGGCGACCCACCGAGGCAGCCGGAGGGGTGGAATAGCGCTGGATGACAGCATCTAAGTATGCTTGAGCAGTGGTGAGAGACCTAAAGCGAGGGCGCTCGGACGGGGGAAGGGCGTTGCTGATGGCAAGCTGGGCGACAGCATCGCGAGAAAGACAGACAGAGCGCGCACGGGCAGTGGCAACAGTGGACTCGCGCTCAGTGGGTGTGGAGTCAGCGGGCAGAATAGCAGGGGGGCCTGGGCAGGGGAGCGTACCGTCAAGGTGTGCGGAGAGCGGTTCACCATCCTGCCGCTGGCCAGTGAGTTGGCGACGGAGGTCGGCAAGCCACGCCTCGAACTCCAGAGGCTGGCCTTCAGCGTCGAAGCGAAGCTCCGCCGCCATCAGGAACAATGCAGTGCGGTGCAGGGCAGTGCAGCAAGGTGGAGTGCGGTGCCGTGCGGTAGAGTGCGGTGCAGTGCGGTGTAGGGCGGTGCAGTGCGGTGCTAGGCAGTACAGGGTGGTGCGGGGCGGTGCAGTGCGGGGCAGTACGGTGCAGGGCAGTGCAGGGCGGGGGGGGGGGGGAGGGGGGGGGGGGGGAAACCGTACCAGTG